TCAGGAGAATCAGTGGTTTTGTGGCGCCGCTTGTATACCAATAACAACTCTGACTTGTCCACTGAGCACGTAAGGCTGCCGGCATCAGCATAGTCTTGTACCACAGACACAGCTTCCCGTAGGGCGTCCTGAATGGTTCCGTCTGATCTTTTGGTTGCCCAAATTGTGTAGTCATCTGAATAAATGGCATGCTTGATGTTGGGAACCTGTTGTAATAGGGAAGGGAGTTAAGCCATAGCTACGTTGAACAAAGTGGGCGAGAGAACCGAGCCCTGTGGTGTTCCTCTGCCTGCGAGACGAATGACGTCCGACCGGAGGTCTCCAATCCCAATAGTGGCCGTGCGGTCAGAAAGAAAGGACCTGACGTAATTGTATAAACCTGAGCCACACTAGATGAAGCGAGATTGTCAAGAATAAGGTCGTGAGAGACGTTGTCAAAGGCACCCTTCAGATCCAGGGCCAGAATAGCTCGGACCTGGTTTGAAGTGGGGCTATCTAACACATCCTGCTTAAGCTGTAATAATACGTCCTGTGTAGAGATACAAAGACGGTAGCCGAATAGTGTATCAGGAAAAAAGTGATTGTCTTCGAGAAATGGTTGTAGTCGAGAGAGTACAACGCATTCAAAGAGTTTAGCTACACATGAAGTTAAGGATATAGGGCGAAGATTCCGAAGATATAGCGGCTTGCCAGGCTTTGAAATAAGTATGATTTCTGCGTGTTGCCACTCCTGTGGTAGCGTGCCGTTGTTCCAATGTTCGTAGTAAAAAGCGGTTAAATATTCGATGGACTGGTCATCTAAATTACGCAGAAGTGTGTACGTAATCCCGTCTGTCTTGGGTGCTGTGTTATGCTTAATGCTTTGCAAAGCTGCCCTAACCTCTGCTTCTGTAATGTCTTCATCTAGAGGCGTATCGTGTACGTGTGGATAATCACGATAGGCGGGACGGGGGCCCGTGGATACCTAGTGTTGCTTTAAGGTGTGCAGCAGAGTGGTATCGTCGAGCCCTGATTTGTGGAGAATGGTGCGGATTGCGTTAACAGTGTGTGATTTTGTCTGCGTAGGATTTAAGAGAGCTTGGAGTATACGCCACGTTCTAGGTGTACTTAGTGAGCCGTTGAGTCGATCGCACAAGTTCTGCCAATTGTTGCTAGTGAGGATGTTCGCATAGTCATGTGCCTCAGTAGCTAGTTGGGCAATTCGGAGACGAAGTTTTTGGTTATGTTTCTGCCGCCGCCACAACCGTGTCAAGCCTCTGTGGGCATCCCAAAGATGCAGCAAATGCCGGTCCACATCCGGCGTTTCTGTCGTCGCAGTGTTGAGTTTGGTAGCTGTTTGAAAATCGGACTGAAGTTATAATATCCACGCCTCTAGGGAAGGAGAGTCCTGATGGGTAGTTGTATGATTACGCCTAAATGCATCCCAATTTGTTAGTTTTATGATGCGCTCTGGGGCACGCGTGGCTGCTACTTGGAGCTCTGTAGTTAGTATATGGGGATCACTGCATAGATTCACCATGAGGTTGCACCAGGAATGGTGACTAACGCCCTTGACTATCGTGAGGTCGGGGCATGTGTCCCTGCTCACACTATTACCTAGGCGAGTGGGTTGATCAGGTTCTGTCAGCAGGGTCATGCGATGAATTGCGAGAACCTGTGCGAGTCGTCGGCCTTTAGGCGTTTCTGTTGCGTAGCCCCAAGCCGGATGGGGGGCATTGAAATCTCCTACAATAACTATGTGTTTGCCCAACTTGCATATTTGTGCAAATAGATTACCGAAGTCATCGTTCCTGGCGTTAGGTGCACTGTAAACGTTAAGCACGTACAGGCTGCTACTGGAGCGAGAGCATGGGACTAATTCGAGAAGCACGTGCGAGATGGAGGTGCTTTGAAAGGTGTGTTTTATGACAGTGACATGCTTAGAAACTAATGTAGCTGTGCGATCTGGTGTATTGTTCGTTACGTCCGTGTATGTGGTGTAACCCGGAAGCGTAAGGGTACATTGTACTTCTTGTAACGCTATGACATCGCGAGTAATCCCCTGCGTCGCAATGAATTGCGTTAGAGCTCCGCGTTTCCTACGATACCCTCTGAAATTCCACTGCCACACACGTAGGAGTTGAGGGGTGTCACGCGTTGGCCTACGGTTTCTCGCTATGATCATGCAATAGCGGGGCCTCGGTAGTACACGGAGGCATTTCAGACTGTGCTAAATCTTGGTGGAGGTTGGTGGGAAGCGGGACTGCAGCAGCTGCGGCTGTTGGGACGGTTTTTCGGGACGGTGATAGGAAACGGGAGGGGCGTATGTAAGGATGCGGTCGCTGTGTTTCACGTGTCGGGTGGTGCGTTTTGGTGCAGATGGCGCAATATTAGGTTGGCCAAGTGCAGACGATATCTTCTGTTTAACATCCGTTACACTCTGCTGGACAGCAGGTTGCAGGGCCTGCTGGATCAATTGTTGGAGTGGAGCTGTTAGTTCAGCCATAATGCTATCCTTCATTTTCTGCATTTCTACCTGCATCATAGCTGCGAATTCGTTCCTTAAAGAAGTAGCTATTTCGTTCAACGCCTCTCGTGTGCAACAGTCAGATTGTAACCTTCCTCAGATTCAATCCACCATGGGGACGGATTGCTATCTTGTAGTCCTCGGCAGGGAGCGGTGGGAGTCTTGGTAGACGCGTCTTAGGCCGGCTCTGGCGTAGGGCGGGCTCAGACGGCGTGCTGGGCAGCTGCTCAGTCGGTACGGTATGGGGTTGCAGCTGTCGGCGTTTGTTCGCTCTCTTGGTAATAGTGATCCATGGATGTGCGTTGTGCTCACTGCTAGCCTACGTATCGGCGTCTTGGCTGGTCTGCGTAATCATCATGTGGTCCGTGGAGCGAGAGGGCAATGAGTGCTTCTCGTCGGCTGCGACGCTCGCCATCCGCTGTAGAGCGGGGCGGCGGGCTGGGCACGTCCAAGCGGCGTCTCCGGCTTGTTAGGGTTAGCGAGGCGGACCTCGCCTAAGAACTTTTGAAAGCGTTATGACGTTTAGAAGCGCTCTCAGAGGTTGGAGTACGGAATAGGCTTGACAGGGGTGATGCTAGGAACAAGTTCCTATCATTGCAACAGGTCGCCAGAAAGAAAATCTTCTTGAAAATGGACCTGAGCTGGAGCCGATATGATTCGCGTCCGTAGGACTCGTTCGCCAGGTGGCGACCCCCAGTGTCGTTGAACATTTATTCTCGTTGTACATTCCGTCCAACGCCTCCTCTAGAAAGATGCCTGAGGAATGGCTCGCGCTCTCAGCGGAGTTGGCCTGCCTTCAGTTTTAAACAAGCTCCGCGCGGTGGCACTCGCGACCGACGCTATCATCACGGCGACGGGCGGTACCAGCCAAGGAGGATTTAAAAAGTTGCTGGAGTGGAAATGATTGCGCCAAAGTGAAGTCGTTCCTCTGGCAAGATGGCGGCTGTGGCGGCCATCTTACTAGGGGCATAATAAAGTATCATCGTTCAGCGATGAAAAACGAAGTGTTTCCCTCGCACGCCCAACGAGTGTGAACTTCGTCGGGTCACATAGTGCTCCAAGTGCGTCTTACAGTCACTACTTTTCCTTAGTGAACCTCTAATCGGAGGCAAAGTTCTTTGAAGATTCAGTGACCCATACTCGTTTCTGTGTGTTGTTTCGTCGTGAACAACTTTCTTTTATTATAGAACTAACGTAGAATTTACATAACATATCAAAGCCACTTGATCTTCAAGTGGGCACTATCAGAAAAGAGCATGTTTCCGCCATCTTGGCAGTGGCAAAAGGTGGCTTCAGTTCTGCTGGCAAGGCATTGCGGGAGCTTCCACTCGAGCAATTTTTCTTTAATCCTCTTTGGTACCAGCTAAGCGTTTTTCATCTGCGGCCCATAGGGTCGCGTCAGTCGAGAGTTGTTCGAGACCTGCAACTGTGCACCACTGTTTCGGAGGCTATGCAAAGTGTAGCGTTGTTGCACCGTCCGCAACAGGTGACACTAGCAACAGAGAACATTTTGAAAATGAAGGAGGGAAAGGGTGTGGCAGCTGTTTTTTCTTCTCATGCGGCAGGCATCTTCCTAGAGGACGTGTTGTTCCGTCTCGTAGGACATTCAGGCTCTGAATTGTTCGTTACGCGTTCCAATAAGTAATCAGTGGCAAAGAAAAACCTACATCTGGCAAGTTATAAGGAGCCTTCATGTGCGTGCGTATGAAGGCTCCCTAGCAAGTTAGGCTACAACTTTCTTCCTACTGGTACACAATGTTGAGAGTTGTGAAGCTTTCTGTGTGTTTATTCATGCGTGACTTGTGAGCGTTCGTCAAAAACGGCTTGCCCAAAATCAAATCAACTGAAGAAGAAGCTAGCGGCTGCTAAGTGTCCTTCTTGCTTGGAAAAAAAATCTAGGTGGGGTTGGTTCAGCGCGGTGTCGTCTCTTCCTCTGTCCTTGTCTTTATTTTTGCGCTGTTTTTCCTTCCCAAGTATGAACCATCAAATAGCCCAACTTTCGCTATTGTTGTAAGTATCCTTCTCAGTGGTACCAGCACGTTCTCAGGGTTTCCCTTAAGAGGGGGGGGGGTGTTCATTGCAGCGACCCCCCTCCCTATTAAGTATATGTATGGGGCAGATCTTGCACCCCCCCCCCCCTTCCTATGTCACTGAAGACTGCAACCACTCCTTCCCGTGCACACACGCTTATGCCAGTACACCCGAAACGCGACGCTAAGCATTTGTATAATGAGGCTTTAAAGAGCCAGATACGGACAATTATACGGGCCACACACTTGTGACAATTATACGGGTCACACAATTGTGACTGCCTTTTTGTTGCGCTATAAAGCTCATTGCGTATCAAAAACGGCCTGCGCATCTTTCACCATGTCTTTTGTTGCACAATAAAACTTATTACGTATTAACGATGGCCTGTGCTTCGTAACAGTGCCATAACACGAAACGTTTATTCTGTAAGAATAGCGGTATGTAAACGTCGTGTTCTGTGCAGTTCATGAACCACGCAGCTGAGAGGCTAGTGGGCTACACGGCAGAGGAATTGCTGGGCGAGAACGCCCAAGAACTGCATCGCACCGGAGCCCTGAAGGCGGAGGTGGCCGAGTGCATCATCGCCGAGGTTTACAAGGGCCACGCGTGGCAGGGCACGCTGTTCCAGCGCCGCAGGTCCGGCGAATGCGTTCCAGTCTGGAGCAAGATTGCGCCCGTCAACATCACTGGGCCAGGGTATTTAATGTGTAGTGGCATTTAGTAGCGCGGGAACAAAAAATGGCCCCGTATCTCCTTGTTACACTGCAAACGTCGTCGAAAGATGGTGAATCGGTGAATGGTATTCTGGAGACGCTGCGTTAGAGTGCCTCGAGCATGCAGCGGAGGCGAACGAGCGCACCAAGCCACGTCACACGTGAGACATGAGCGCTATCTGGCAGTTATCTTGGAAATCGAAGCGCACGGCGTGCCCGCCCGTCTCGGAGGTGATAAGGTGTGGAACGCCATGTGACGGGTAGGTGCAACCACCGTGTCGTCTTAGCAAAGCGTTAGAAACACTTGCCTTTTCGTGCAATCGTTGCATGGTCAGCGCAGCGGGATAAACGCTACGGTCCTTAGAATTACTTATGTATGTCTTTTCTAGTAAAAGATACACATACAGAACATTGACATGTTATTATGGGTTCTCATATTTGTGCACCAATTGCTTTTAATTGCGAAGCATTTCTTAGAGAACTTCGGTGACTTTGAGCGTATCTATCTATCTATCTATCTATCTATCTATCTATCTATCTATCTATCTATCTATCTATCTATCTATCTATCTATCTATCTATCTATCTATCTGTCTATCTATCTATCTATCCATCTATCTATCTATCTATTTAGCCACCTACGACTTTTAGCGTCCCTGGCCGTTTGGGTAATGGTATCGATACCAAACTTGGTATGGCATAACATGACTGTATGATGAGAATATTTGACTAGTCATAACATGAAAATCATTATATGTATGTCATAAATGTTATGATTTACATTTTATGGTCGTGCTGCTCTTGCGGTGGTCTCGTTCACCAGGCATGTTGCGAAACAGGTATGATATGACATGATTACATGGTGAACACAAGCGACAGACCCTAACGGGGAAATCATGACATGCATGTCATGTAAGTAATGAGTCATGACTACACGCCAAGCTCATGATGCGTTCGCAGCCGTCTCGCTAGCTTCACATATACCAAATTCGGCGTTACGTCAAGCGTATGGATGACGAATGTATGTGACAATAGGAGGGAAAGGTGGGCTAGTTGGTAATTCATAATGGTTCAGCGAACTGGGAGCGCGGGAGTAAACACAGACACAAAGCAAAGAGGAGGCACACAGCATGAGCGCCCGTGCTGTGTGCCTCCTCTTTGCTTTGTGTCTGTGTTTACCCCCGCGCTCCCAGTTCGCTGAACCATCATGAAGGTATGTGACTGGTGCAAACATGATAACGATGAGATGCGTGTCATGTGACATTATGACTACAAGCCACACTCATGAAGCCCTCGCAGCCGTTTCGCTAGCTTCACATACACAAAGTATTAAGTATTAAGGGACGTGAATGGACGACAAAGGGATGCGACTTGTGCAAGCATGATAATCATGTGATGCGTGTCATGTAACAACAAATTTGGTATTACGTCACGTGAATGGATGATGAAGGTATGTGACTCATGCAAACAGATGCTTGTCATGTAAGAGCATGACTACATGCCACACTCAAGCCGCAAATACATTTAGACGTGACCCGGTGCGCGTGTGCTCCAGCGTTCGTTTCGTCGCGTCATGCCGGTGATGCCACTCCAGTCACCGACCTGCCTGGTATATACTCGCAGGAACGCGCCGCACTGCACTTCTTTGAAGCATGTACGTTTGAGCACGCACGGCGTCCCTTCGTCACAAAGCTTGGCAGGCGCGGTGCATTCTGGGTAACGTCGTTGGTGCGAAATGCAGCATGTTGCATTTCGCACCGGTTGCCGCCGGGCAGACGCTGGTCGCGTCTAGCGTCAGACTATAGAATGTTCGCGTTTTGCTAACGTAGCGTCACTGCGCCGAGCGTGAGCTCGTCAGCGTTACGTTGAAGTATATTGGGCCCTTCATGATGCTCTCACCGCCGTTTCGCTATAGATTCACATATTCCAAGTTTGGTAATACGAGACGTGAATGGACGACGAAGGTATGTGACTGGTCCAAACATGATAATCATGAGATGCGTGTCGTGTAACAACACGACCACATGCCACCGTCATGATGTGCTCGCGGTCGTTTCTCTAGCTTCATATATACCAAATTGGTATTGCATGACGTCAACAGAAGGCTAAGTTAAATTACACGCCCGAACATGATAATCATGATATGCGTCTCATGTAAAACATGACTACATGCTACGCTCATAGCACGCTCGCGGCCGCTTTGCTAGCTCCACATATACCAAATTTGGTATCAAGTGGCGTGAATAGATAATGAAGGTGAATGACACGCCCAAACATGATGATTATGACACGGAAGTCATGCACGGCATTATTTGCCTCCGCCTCGTAACGTTGTGCTGACTTTAAACTGACATATAAACCTTCCTCATTTGTGCTTCGCATATCGATTCTCACTATACGTGGGATCTGTCCATTTTTAATTGACAATCGCACAATTATGAACACTGAAGCTTGAGCAATATTGGTAAGTGCTGCGGATGGGGTCAACCGTTTGGGGTATCGTCTGGTGTCGTTTAGAGTGACGTAAAGTGCGGACAAACAGACAAATGTACAGACAGACAAACTTTTTTGCGTCGAAGGTCCCAAGAAAGACGTCTTTAAAGTTATACTCGCTTTAATCTTACAACTCTCTTTTGAGATTACGCTCCCTTCAGAGAATCGTGGGAGGCACAGCTCTCTAAAGCGGAGACGTGGGTGGGCGTGCGCATGGAAGGAAGAAGCAGGGGGTGGATGTGACGTTAAGGCTCCTTCACAACGAAGGCCAAAGCCGGGGCAACCTCCTTCTAGGCGACGGGCGGAAGCGCTCCTGGACCGCCCGCTGAAGCCTACCACTTTTCCGAACGCTGAATAGAAGTCGGTCAGTTGGAGGCAAATTCAAACCGGCACGTTTTAAAATTTGCACACCCTGAGCGAAATGCATTCCTCGACATGCTCTCCTCACTTGTCAAGGTGCTTAGCTAAAGCTACTCTGTACTACGTCACGCGGAAATGTCAGGCCATTAGAGCTTTAGTACCAACACAGAATCCCATAGAGGAGTGATCGGAAGAGACGCTTGCCAGCAAAAACCTGGTGGTGGTGGTGGTGAAAACATTTAATAACCATTAAATGGTTACAGAGAGGTGATTGGGTTGGGGCCTTATTGGCCTCCTACCCTCACAGCACTAGGTGGAACCCCTATTCCGGGGCTCCATTGGCAAGCAACGCCGCCCGCGCACGTTGAACCAGAGCCTCTTGGGCCTTCAGGTCTTGACAGCCGAGCAGGGCCGCCTCCCAGTCCTCTCTCGTGGGATTGGGGTTGGGGGGGATAGATCGATTAGACTGGCACGCCCAGACGATGTGAAAGGTGTCAGCCACCTCACCACAGAACTGGCACGTGCCATCAAAGGATGAATTGAAATGTTTTAGCACTGCCGGGCACAGTACAGTATTGGTAAACAGTTTTAAAAGGAGGCGCTCGTCAGCGCGATGCAGTCCTTTACAAGGGTCTGGATAGCGCCGGTGCTCCTCCTTGTAGTAATTGGTAATATCTTTGAATGAAAGGGCCGAATTGTCTGATTGCGAGTAGGCTTCCAAAGACAGGGAGATAGCCCGGGAAGAGAGTGCGCGGGCGGCCTGATCGGCCTGTTCGTTACCCCTGAGTCCTTGGTGACCGGGTGCCCCAACCAGATTTCGCGGAGTTGGATTAACGTATCGGCAGCTAGGTTCCAGTATGCGCTGAGCAAGCGGTGAAGCCCACCCTAGCTGATAGTTCCGACAGGCCCCTCGTGAGTCGGTGATGATATGTTTAGAAGAGGGATAGGTGAGAGCCAGAGCGATGGCAACCTCCTCCGCGTGTGTTGCGCTGTAGGCTTTGAAAGTGAGCCCGTTTACGGTGTTTGCGTTGTGTATGACTGCGGCAGTATACCACCCCCCATGGTGCGGGCCGGCAACGTCCACGTAGCACACGTGTTCCTCTTGACCAAAGTGTCGCTGCAACGCTTCCGCGCGCGCCTGGCGGCGACCACTGTGGTTTTCTTTGGACATGTTGCGGGGAAGGGGTCGGACCCGGAGGGCGCGTCTCCAAGGTTCTGGCACTCTCACCCTTTCCTCAATATAGTAATCGTGTTTGATGTGTATTCGGTCCAAGAGGCGGCGACCGGAATGGGTCTGTGCAAGGCGCGTGTATTGGTTAACGAGGTGGGCTTCTCGAAGTTCCCGGTAGGTATTCACCACGCCTAGGGCCAGAAGTCTCTGGTTGGACGTGGTGATAGGGAGGTCGAGAGCCCGCTTGATAACTTTACGGTGGATGACCTCGAGTTGATCATCCTCGTGTTTGCGTAGGTGCAAGTAGGGAGTCGAGTAGAGTATTCTACTCGTTACGAAAGCATGGGCAAGCCGCATTGCATTCCTGCTTCGTAATCCGCCCCGCTTGTTGGAGACCCGGCGGACCATACGGCCCACCTGGTCTCCCACCGTGCGAAGTTTGGCTATTGTGGTGTCGGCCTTGCGTTGGTGGTGTATGAAGAGGCCAAGGACGCGGATCTCCTTGGCCTCACGGATCGGTCCCGAGGGAAGACTGATATGGAGCTGAGTTGTGTCCTGAGGGGAGGGACGTACGTGCACAAATTCTGACTTAGCCGGGGCACACTGGAGTCCGCAGTAGGTTGCGTAGTCGTCGACTACAGTCGCTGCTGCTTGCAGGCATGACTCCATGTGACCCAGGTTACCTTGCGTGGCCCAGATCGTGATATCATCCGCGTAAAGAGCGTGATGTATCCCTGGTAAAGAAGCCAATTTGGGGGGAAGATGAAGCATGGCTATATTAAATAGGAGGGGAGAGAGGACCGCGCCTTGAGGAGTTCCCCTCGAGCCGATGACGTAAGGCCCATGTTCCTCATCTTGTATGCGTATGTAGGCTCGACGGTCTGTAAGAAACTCTCTAACATAATTGAATGTTTTATAACCACAGTTGGTCTGACTGAGGTGGTCAAGGATTA